TTTTTTACATGAGATTAATGTGTTTCCTGCTCCCTGAAGCTGCAATGCAGTGTGCTTCAAATCTGACAATCATTTTCAGAAAAAAAGGTTGTGTATACTATTTATTCATCTCCAGTTTTACTTGGTCTATATACACATATTAAAAACTGGTGTATTGTTTGGTCTAATTTTGACACTTTTGACAGTTTGTGACACTCAACACAGGAATGGATGTCGAACTCACGTGACGGGATGACGTCATGACGTCGAGAGGAGACGTTACGCTAAGTGACGGGAGCTTTTATTTTGAAAAGTAGGACTAGGTTCACCAGACGAGCGCCGTGACGCTGGAGTCTGTCTCCAAGGCTGCAGCACCACTGCTGGCCTGATGAGTGCGGAGGATGGAAAGGAGTCCGTCGCTTCTCACGACGGCTCGGACCGAACCGAACCTGACGAGAGCCTAAACAGCCCGGTGAAGCAGCTTCAGGTCTCTAGTTTGACACGTTTTYGGAACTTTTATTAATTTTTGAAAATAAAGCAGCACGTAGTGCTAGCTTAGAATAAAGCTAGCATGATGCTGAGGGTCAGCTGTTGATAACATCAGGTTAATAATAAAACATAGACTCGTCTGTTTCTGTTATTATTTTTGGATAAACGTAACGTGACGTCACGGCACGAACGATGTTTTTATGGCTTGTATAAATAAAGGTAAATAAATAAATGATCTGGAATCCAGAATGTAATTCATTGGATAATAATGTGATGATGGGCAGGTGCTGGAAGAAGTGTCGAATCTGCTGCGCAGGATGGAGATCTGTGTTGCTGAAGTTGAGAGGAGGAGCGGGAAGAATGCAGTCAGCATGCAGGAGACGTTCACTGTCTACCTGATTGAGACAAGGTGAGCAGGTCTGGTTGTTAGCAAAATATCTCAAGAACTATCGACACTAGACCGACAGTATGCAAATTTAAAGTAAACAACTTATAACTCTTTGAGGTCAAGTCGATACAAGAAGGCTTTCATATCTAATTGACCTTTAAAACACAAAAAGAATRTAAAGCAGTTTGTTTTACAGACGTGACATTTTTCCACACACATCACATGATCTGAGCCCCAACAGGCTGTACAAGATTTTGTTTAATATTTTGCCRACAAYTATTTGAAGTCARCTCTGTTAACAAAATATTTCCAGAAATACAGCTGGTAAAATAAGTATAGAACACGTCAACATTTTTCTCAGTAAATATATTACTAGAGGTGCTAATGACATGAAATTTTCACCAGATGTTGGTAACAACCCAAGTGATCCATACATNGTATGGATCACTTGGGTTGTTACCAACATCTGGTGAAAATTTCATGTCATTAGCACCTCTAGTAATATATTTACTGAGAAAAATGGTGACGTATTCAATACTTATTTTACCCGCTGTATCTGTTAGCATAATCCCACCCAAGACAATATACAGTAAAATATGCAATCACTTCAGTGAGTTCTCAGTTATTTTTTTCACCCAGCATATAATTCTTAAAATGTTCAGTAAGACAACCACGCTTAAAAATTGTTTCTAACTTTTTCAAAGGTCTACTAGTGAAATCAATGACACGCTCCAGCCCTCCCTCCACTTTGAGGGAGGAACTAACAGTAAATGTCCTGAAACAAAGGTGAAGTGACTCAGTTTTTATTATAGCCRGGCCTTAGTTTATAATAACTTACTGTATGTTACAAATACAAAGGTTCTGCGACTGTGGCTCCGGGCACACGTGACCCTTCTGCGCCTCTCAAGTGGCTCCTTGGAACCTCGACTAAAATGAATAAAGTTTACATTTAGATTGACAGTATTAATATTAAATATTAAAATACTTGCTGGAATTTAAGTCATTAAAAAAAGATGTTACTGTAAAGCTGAACAAAATTACAGTTTTTTTTTTTTAGCTATGGTCATAAACATTTGATCAGCTGATGAACAGCCTATCAGATTTTTTTTTGTTTCACTCCCACTTCATACAATCTTGACAGTTTCACGCTGCGGTAYTCTCTGCAAACTGCTAGTCTCTAATGCTCCCATGAGAAACAATTCAAACTGGACTTTTGGTCTCTCGATTCTCAAATTTGAACAGCCTTGTTGTGACCGTGTTATAGACGGAGGCTGACATGACTGTTTGGGGGGAAATAGGAGACATGGTAAAAAGTTGAGAGAAAATATTTCATTTTTCTGACTGCTAAGAGATGTGTTGTGTCGTTGTGTCCTCTGCTGCTCCTAAAAAAACTGCTTGTTTTGATTCTAAACACACTCAAACTGGCTAAACTAAAGACTAAACACTCTAAACCAGTGTGTCCCAAAGCTGGGGTCAGGACCCAAAGTGGGGTCCCGAAACATCAAGGTGGGGCCCTGAAAAGATTTTCTGAATTAATTACATTTTTGCCTTAGTTGTTACAAAAGAGTTAGGTTTGTATATTTAAAATGGATAAATGTAGTATAAAAATATTGTTACCGTGCCCATGTTTAGTTGACCTGATACAAATGTTTATCATCCAAAAATAGTTGGGGGCACAGGTCTCTGCTGCTGTTATTTTGTGGGTCAAAAGCTGAAAAGTTTGGGAACCACTGCACTTTGGTTCCCAAAGTTGGGCTTTTGACCCACAAAATAACAGCAGCAGAGACCTGTGCCCCCAACTATTTTTGGATGATAAACATTTGTATCAGGTCAACTGAACATGGG